CTTTTCAAATAAAATATAAAATTACGATGAGACACCCCTTAATGTTAATATTAAGATATCAAACTTTACCAGAATTTTTTTTTATCATCGTGAACGATATTTTCACGGTAATTAAGAAAAAACAATTTTTTCTGCTCCCTAATATTTTACTAAAAACAACAGTTTTATTTTTAGCTCTCTGTTTCAGTAGCTAAATACTCAATCGTTCAAGAAACTCTATGTTGGAAAAATATCACGACTAGGCTTTGACGCGATCACCCGTCCAAACACTCACCTCATCGTCGAAGTACCGGAATTAGTTGGTGTGCTGCCGTAATTCGGCAGTTGTCCTGCTTTGAACTGCTCAACTGGAACTTATAATAAGTCGATAGTAGCAATGACTAAAGAATCCAATGACAAATAACACCCGAGAGCAAATTGTAACCAGGCCACCAAACAGTCCCGTGGCACATGTTTTTCTTAACTAAGTTGTTTGAAGAGATATTTATATTTTTTGATAAGTGTTTTGACTACGCCTATGGTGTATACGGTGTTATCATACTAATTAATTATGAAAAAAACATATTATTAAAATGTTAACAAAATATACAAAACTAGTATCGACGAATAGCACACATCAAGTACTTATATATAATATTAGAAAAATAATTATCGAATTCAATAAGAAAACGCTAAAAAGGTGGAGTGGACTTTTTATTTACCTATGAAACGTAACTCCTGGCTCTTTCTTATCGCTGCGGCTTTTACACTTGAAAACTGAAGAACTAATCACCATTCTAATAAAGTTTATACAAAGTTTACTGCACACAAAGTATTAAAAATTGCTAAAATTATCGCTGATGACCAGCTGGTCACTCATTCGTTGCCACCAACAAAATGGCGTCTAACGTTACAAATTCTGCTGCCCGTATGTGGGCGTTGCATGTCCTTGTATTATTTAGTCATTGAGTAGTAGTAATAACAGTAATAACATAGAACAATAATAAAACAGACCTCAAAAAACATAACAGTGTATAAGAATACTTCAAGTTCGAGCTCTCTTACTTATTAAGAATATCTTTTACATAATTTACAATGTGTTTGGCAGAAAGACCGTAGTAATCCAATACAGCTGCGGTGGGTCCAGACCTGGGTACTTTGGGTACTGAAATTTTCCTTACGAAGATATCCCTTTCTTCGCTGACGGCCGACAAGACCGCTTCTCCAATGCCACCTTCGGGATAATGATCTTCCACTACCAAAATCCTACCGCCAACGTCACGTGCGTTTGTGATGATGGCCTGCCGGTCGATGGGTTTAATGGTGAACAAATCCAAGACTCTCACACTGATGTTTTGCCGAGCTAATTCTTCGGCTGCTGTGAGAGTTTCCAGGAGAGTTACACCACCAGCAATTACAACGACTTTGTCGTTAGAAGATGAGAGAAGAACGTGGGCCTTTCCAATCTAAAAAAAGATATCATAAAATAACTAAAAAATATCCACTAAACAAATGCGGTGAGAGACATAAAATTGTCATTGCATGGAATTGTACTTTAATTAATTGAGGTTAGCAGAATACGCACGAATTGAATACTAATAGATAATAATAAAATGAGACAATACAATACAAGCTAATTGGGAATCTACAAAAGCTGCCAGCGCAACATTAGAAAATACTTTAGTAAAATTTACATTTTTTCTGTAAATTTCCGTTTTTCTGTAAATTTACACTTTTTCTGTAAATTTTCCTTTTTCTGTAAATTTACACTTTTTCTGTAAATTTAGAGATTTTCTGTAATTTCCGTAATGTAACTCGCCATCAGGATCCAAACCGCATAACAGTTCTCTGTTTTTTGACAATCAATCCATTCTGAAGGCACTTAAGGCGGATCCAGATGTAAACGTGTAGCTGACCGTGTGTCAAAATGTGTGTTTCCAAAAATCGTACCAGAATATCAATGTCCGTGTAAAGGTTGATTCTTACTATACCTTCCATATCAGCTCCCTTCCGTTTCCCTTCCGTTTACATAAAATATTATATCATGTAAATGAATAGGACAATGCACACTATCCGTTCCGTTTCCCTTCCGTTCCATATCCTTTCCTTCCAAACATTTTTTTGGCGGACGGACTGAAGCGCATCCGAAACAGCGTTGTCAAGTTCTTACAACTTTGTACCAGCTCTGTTAAAATTTATTCATTCTTTCACCTCTTATTTAAATCTATTACCTTTTTCAGAAGATACAAATTTTTAAAAGTTATGATATAAATTATGTATGGAACTGATACGGAACGCTTACGTATATCAATACAATAAAAAATACAGAACGGATATGGAATGGAAACGGAAGGTATAGTGAGAATCAACCTTTAAGCTTTCTTCGAAATAAAATAAGTCGTCCTAAATACGGAATTATTCGCAATTGACGTAAAGCTTAGACATAACCGTCCTCTAGCAAACATGTCAAAATTTCTTTGTGACTTAATCCGATTTGAAAGAAGGTTTTAATGCATTCGTCCATAATATCTGATTAATATCGGCACAATGGCAAATTAACCGGCAGAGAACAAGGCCTAATAACTTCTGAGTAACGAACAGGTCGATGCCGAGACATCATCATGCAGGGTAGTGTATTTCGCATGCAATTTACAGAAAAATGGTAAATTTACAGAAAAAGTATAAATTTACAGAAAATGTATTAATTTACAGAAAATGTGTATATTTACAGAAAACGTGTAAATTTAGAATTTACATAAAAAATGTAAATTTACAGGAAAACTGTAAATTTAAAAAAAATATATTTTTCAACGTTGGTACGGCAGCTCTCCGCTTTCGCAGGAATCTGCCAAATTCGACAATAAATAAATATTTTTTTGGTCTATTTAAATTTTGTATTTAAAATTTTGTTATTTATAATTAAAATTTAAGAAATAGGATTCAAGTTGTTTTCGTCTAAACATAATAAAATTTTGACATAAATAATTATTGTTTTCGTAGAGGAAAATATGGGGTATTTTTATTAAAGCGTAAAATATTCAATAGTTACTTATGCTCATAGCTGACTAAACTTTGATCATTTTTTAATCTGCCTGGCCTCGATTATCGATTCGGCATTTTGTAAAATGACCGAAAATTGGCAGCCTTTTTGCAGAAGTGTTTAATAATCATCATTGTTTAATATGCCTAATTCTGATTAAGCTTTTTCCAAGGTGACTGAAAATAGATAAGCTTTTTGTAAAAAATCCTTCTTTTGTGTAGGTTAGATTAGGTTAGGTTGCTGGGGTTTGGAATCATATTTAATCCCTCACTCGGAGGCCTTGGGCCCATTGCGATACCCCTGTATTGTTGTACCAAACCTTCCTTTCATTCTTTCTGTGCGTTAAAGCCCTGGTTAAAGCACTTCCAGCTCTTTGCAAAGTTCCCGATGTCGCCGATGTTGGCTTCTGCCGTTTCCTCTGGTCCCTCCAAAAAACCTTGCCCTAAAGTTTTAAAGCGTCGATATTCCAGTGCCGAACAGTGGCACAGCAGGTGCTCTATGGTTTCTTCTTCTCTCTCCGCATTCTCTGCAGTAGTCGTCGTCGGAAACTTCCTATCTCACGAGGTTTACCCCCGTGGGACAGTTTCCAGTAACGACACCTAAAATTATGCGTACTAGGTCCTTTTTGTGCTCTAGTAGTTGTTTTGTCTTTTTGCTATCTACCGAATCTTCGAGCTGTAGCGCAGTCCTCACGGTGTTGCCTCGTCTCTTGCTGCTTGGCTTTGATGGCAATTCCTATAGCCTCCTTCAGTGTGTTGATCGTCACAAGTGGTGGGTCATCTGCCACGGCCTCTCCCCTGGCCCCGTTTTTGGCGAGTCTGTCTGCTTCCTGATTGCCCACAACATTGCTGTGGCCTGGCACCCAGCACAGCCAGGATAGTGCTTCTCGGCATTCCATCACAGTTTTCGATCTTATTGATTGCATGGTGATGCTTCTTAAAGCGCCCAAGCTGTCAGAGTATATCACTATATCCCCTATTGGTCTATCAGCAATTTTCTCTCGTATACAACTAGCCGCTTCCTTTATGGCGTAAACATCAGCTTGTAGAACATTACAGCCATCCGATAGCCTTCTTTTGTGTAAAAAGCTGGCGTTGCCTAGTCTTTTTGCAAAAAGCCGAATTATTCAGTACGCCTGCGACATTTATATTGTCAAGAAGTGTGGCGACATCTTTCGGAAAATTAGTGCGCCATCTCTTAGACATTGGTGGACAATCCCGAATGAGACAGCGGAAATTTCTGGAAACCAAAAGAATCTTACAGAGTTCTGGAATAGAAATTGCAAGAAGACCGCTGAGCACGGGATACGTAAAGTTTCAAAGCGTGCCAACTTAGTTTTGAATAAAGTTCTGTAATAAGCAAATTGTGATAAATTGGCGAAGGTTTTTCAAATATAGATATGTCATTTTAATTACTTGTTTAAACCTATTTTGCTGAATTCTCTTTGTTTGTTTAAATGGATGTATTTTGTTCAATCTTATATTTACACAAATTTTTTATTTTTTGTTTTTATATTTAGACACATTTATTTACTTTTGATAAAACTGTTTTTTAATGTTAAAATTGCTGACAATAAATATTTTAGGTTTAGATTTAGGAATATGCTTTGTTAACAAAAATTTATATATTTTTAACAATAAAGTACTTTTGAATTTGAAATTGAATAGTTAGTTATTAGTTACAAAAAAACTCATAGCTTGACCTCAAGTTTCACGTCTAAGAGTTTTTTAAACGTAATTTGACTAAACGATAATAGGATAAGAGTAGAATCGATAGTAATGTTTAAAATGTATATTCATATTATATTTTTCTCTGTGTGGTGTGGTATTGTAATAGCTTATATTTTGACGTAAAAATTGACAGTACCTACTAATTAATTATTGATTAATTATTGGTGTGTTCTTTGACTATTATTTATTTAAGTTAATATTTTTAAATATTTTTTTACATACAGGGTCACATTTTAAAATTAAACAAAACAAAAAACAAAATGTATATTTAAAAAAAATAACAGTGTATATGCATTCAAAATGGAGCTCTTCTACTTCTTTAGAATATCTTTTATATAATTAGCAATATGTTTGGCCGTGAGTCCGTAGTAGTCCAATACAGCCGCGGGTGTTCCAGACCTTGGTACTCTGGGTACTGCAATTTTCCTTACAAAAATATCCCTCTCTTCGCTGACTGCTGATAGGACAGCTTCTCCAATACCGCCTTCGGGATAGTGATCTTCCACTACCAAAATCCTACCGCCAACTTCACGTGCGTTTTTGATGATGGCCTGCTGATCGATGGGTTTAATAGTGAACAAGTCCAGCACTCTCACATAAATCTTTTGCTGGGCTAGTTCTGCGGCTGCTGTGATAGATTCCTGGAGTGTTATTCCACCGCCAATAACTAAGACTTGGTCTTTAGGAGATGAGAAAACAACGGTAGCCTTTCCAATCTAAAACCAACGTCATTAAATACTGAGGAATTATCCACTGAACAAATGCAATGAATGAATGAATGAACAAGCGATGAACCAATGCAACAAATAGACTAATCATTACGTGGGATTTCATTTTAATTAACTGAGTTAAGCGTATTCTGAATTGAATGCAAAATAAGATAATAAATTTAATATGATACTATTGGGTATCTGTCAAACTCGACTATTAACGAAATAAATTTTAAAATAAAAAATAAACGGAGAAATGTGAGTCGAACTTGGCCACTGAGGGTTACCTACAAATTTGTAGGTACATAAAATCAAAAAAATCGAAATATTATACACCATAAAAATAATTAAACATTCGACCAATGTGTGATGACCTATACATGTAAAACCTGCACAAAAAAAATATACTGGGAATTGGGAATAACCAAAAAAGACCGTAAAAGAATAGAGTAGATACGACAAGAGACTCAGGTAATATATTTCATCCACAGCATCAAATCCCTCAAGTGGCAATGGACAGGACACCTGGTAAGATGGACGGACAACAGGTGGCTCACAAAAATTACAGTATGGTACCCACGAGGAATTAAGAGACCTCGAAGAAGACTAAACCTGAGATGGGACGATGATATTAGGAAATTAGGAATTACTTGGGCCCGCAAAGCAAAATTCAACAACAATGGGCCCAACTACAAAGAGAGTATCTAAATATGTGGGGAAGGGTACACCATAATTGGAAATAAGCATAAAATTATGATGATAATGATGCATGTGATTATGATGCTGTTAGATGTTTTAACAAATTTCTGTAAAAATGAAAAATCAACACTATACTTTTTCTTCATAAAAATTTACTACAGTTATTACAAGTTTCAAAATATGGAATATTTTACTGCCTCACTAATTATAAATAATATCGCCTCCCCCCCCCTCCCCCCCCCCATTTTTAAATAATATATTATACATTTCATATTAAGTTAATATAAACTCTCTTGTTTAATATTAAAATATAATACCGGGTGCGACTCAAAAGTGGCTCACCCCTATAACTTTTTAAATTTTTTTCAGTAAAAAGAAACGAGGTTTGGTATATTAGTATATGACATAAATTGGGATTGACTGACGTATTCAATTGTTTTCGGTCACTTCCTGTTTCACCTGAAATGACTACAACTTTTGATTTTTAAATGGCACCCTCGGTATATTTTTACTTTATTCGATTGAAACTGATACTCTGAATAGAATGATATATCATATGTCAACTTTTGACATTTTCGCATATGGTTAATTTGAAATTATAACATGCGGTTCATAACAAAAATTTGACTCGAAATACCAAGTGTATAGTATCGAATTGCTCGTAAAAAAATTCTTTTTCCAAATATGCCAAAGAACCACCCTCGTTCCATTTGAAAAAAATTGAGATATAATTAAAAATGCGATTTGGGCATCTTTTAACCGGCCAGGACACGTCACTAGAAATTAGAAAATTTAAAAATTAATGTTTTTAACATAGCCATGGCATTCTAGATTGAAATTTAAATATGATTTTTTAAGCGATAATGTCAAAAGTTGACTTATGATATGTCATTCTATTCAGAATGTCATTTTCTATCGAATAAAGTAAAAAAATACCGAGGTTGCCATTTAAAAATCAAAAGTTGTAGTCATTTCCGGTGAAACAGGAAGTGATCAAAAACAATTGAATACGTCAATCCATCCTAATTTATGTCATATACTAACATACAAAATTTAGTTTTTTTATCTGAAAAAACAAAAAAAATATAGGTTATAGGGATGAGCCACTTTTGAGACGCACCCGGTATAGTTTATATTATAAATTCTTAATAATATTCCAATATAAACTCACTGGCAAAAAAAACCGGCCACTAAAAACTAGACCCAATTTCAAAGTTGGATTTCTCGCGAACCACTCATTAGATTTTGTTGCTTTTTTTAAAATTGTAAATTAATTCCTTTTTAACGGATGCTACGTCAGAAATTTTTATTCCGAATTTATTTTGAGCATATACAGGGCACAACAATAAGACAAAGTTTTTTGCTCGAACTTTGTAGCACCCTGTAGGGTGCAGCAGCGGTAGTAGCTATAGCTAAATTAAATCACATTGTAGCCTCATCTTTTGTGTGCATTTTGTTTTAATCACCACATTATCTCTTTTTGTGTTGCAGATATGCTGTTTTAAAACTAAAGTCTCGGAAAAATGCTTCGCAGACAGAAACTTTTATGTGTAAATAATCAAAGCGACATAGGCGAAAACGGATTTATGAGTATTTGCAATATGACAACAACGGTTGTCAAATTAAAAAATGCTATTATCTGTAACGGATGTTGCTCGTATTGTGGCTTTAATTGAGGATGGGCGAAGTCAACGTTGTCTTTATATCTTTTTTTATATCTCAACATGTCTCCGATACCCTGGGTATATTTCGAACAACAGTCCAGGATGCCTGGAATCGGTATATCGAAACGGGAAATTTCACTAGGCGAGTGGACACTAGATATTAGTCCCTTAAAATTTCTTTACCTTTTTTTATTTTCATGTTTTAGTTAGTTTTCAGATTAAACTTACCTACGTTCTGATGTTTGTTTTGTTTTTAAAGCTTTTTTCGATGCGTTTGTTTTAAAGCAGCGCATCTCCAATACAAACAGAGATAATGTCGTGGTTAAAAAATCAAAATGCTCACAAAAGATGAGGCTACACTGTGATTTGATTTAGCAATAGCTACTACCGCTGCCGCACCCTACAGGGTGTTACAAAGTTCGGGCAAAAAACTTCGTCTTATTGCTCTGCCCTGTATATGCTCAAAATAAATTCGGACTAAAGATTGCTGACGTAGCATCCGTTAAGAAGGAACTAATTTACAATTTAAAAAATCATCAAAATCTAATGAATGGTTCGCGAGAAATCCAACTTTGAAATTGAGACTAGTTTTTAGTGGCCGTTTTTTTTGCCGGTGAGTGTACATAGTAAAATGGAAATAAATACTTTTAGAAAGAAAAAGCTATTTTTTAAAGAAAAAGCAGCAAAAAAATACTTTAACCAAATAGCAAAAAATGACAATGTGTTTAATATGATCCCACCCCTACCGTGTTTAATATTTAACTGTAGCGAAATATAGCTTACCTCGAAATGGTGGTCATTGGGATATACGACCTTTGTAGTTGGCCTGTTCACTCTGAGATAGCAAACTCCGGGAGTGTTGGCAGCTAATTCTACAGCTCGTTCACAAGCTACTGCATCGGCAGGATAAAAGACGGTACCTCCAGGAATAGCCCTGAACATAGCTAAATCTTCGAGAGCCATTTGACTCGCACCGTCTTCACCAATCGATACACCGCAATGTGATCCAACAAAGTTGACGTTGGTCTGAGAAATAGCTCCCATACGAATCTAAAATTTAAGAAAACAGTTTAAATATGTAGATGTACCGTCGTTGCATCGCCGACTTTAACATAGGAAATCCCATAGAAAAAGCTCCCCGTCGTTTTATTTTAAAGAAACATTTTCTTTAATTTTTAAAGAACTTAATTAACTTTTTTAATTTTTAATTAATAAATGAAAATTTTAACACTTGATTTGGCATGACTTGGCATCATAGATAAATGAAACAAGTTTCGATTGGAAAGTGCCCATAAGGACAATGTAAACACTGTTTGGCGCTATTCTTGCAACGGTCGCGACCTAAAGCTTTTGAAAATTTCGGAGCGGTTCGGCTTTTTCCGGAACTATATCGCCAAATATTATTTATTCAAATTTACTATTATTTTCTATTAATTTTATAATTAAAATACAGTGTGTTGCATACAAGAAACTTTGTTTTATACAAGGACATGCATGAAATACCTATGAAACATTGGAAACCGACGCTATGCCACGATCCACGATGGTTTTTGCATTTCGCAGTTCACAGCACAGCTTTTTAAGTTTTTAATGCCACTTTTTCACAATTATATTAGGGTTTAAGTAAATAAAACTTAAATTAAACTCACAAGATAGCAATAATTACTGTAAAAATGGACGCTTTAAACACTTTTCAGAATTTTTTCAATGAGAGCGGTTTAGATTTTGAAAGATTTTATAATTTAATAATTTTGAAGATTATAACTTTGACAAGAGATATGGAAAAGAGAAAATTATTTCTGTTTATGTTTGCGGTTGCTCTTAGCAACCGCTATAGCAGTGCCAGGTCGCGTACAACGGTCGCGACCCAAAACAATTTCGCGACCCAAAATTTTGACGGGCATTCCAATCTATCCTTTATCTATGCTTGGCATGGGCCGTTTTTTTAAGGATTTGACATGTTTTTTTGGCATGACATTTGTAATTTTTGTTTTTGTATTTTTATTTTGAAAAAATATCCATTTTTAAAGATAATTTTAAATAAAATGCACTAGATTTCAAAATATTTTTTTACGGTAAACGCAAAACAATTTCCGATGCGCGTGATCAACTTGCAACTTTACGTGACAAACTTGAGCGAACAGCGATGGCGACAGCGCTGCCAGATTGTGATAAGATGAATCTTAATGTAAAATTGGGAAACAATATATTTATTATATCACTTTTACATTTTATTTTTAATTTGTTAATTAATATTTTAGTAGGTTGATTTATTTGTTTTATAGCTTATTTTACTTATTACATATAGGCAAAAACTAGTCAATTATGAAGATTATTCTAAGCGTTATTATGGGTTATTTATTTATTTATTAATGTACTTATTATTGATTTATTTGTTTTATAGCTTATTTTACTTATTACATATAGGCAAAAACTAGTCAATTATGAAGATTATTCTAAGCGTTCTTATTTATTTATTTATTAATGTACATCTTACAACACCACAAGTGGTAATAACAAGTAAAACGGTGCGATTAATGCACGAACAATTAACCACAGAAATCACTAATAACTAACGTAGAAATATCTTTGAAAGTGGTATAATGTTACCAATCAAACTTACGTCTCTGACTTCAGTCAAGGTTAATAAAGGACCTTTATTGACATGTTGTCGTGCAAAATAGTTTATCAGGGAAGCTACAAGCTCTTTGCTTCGATTGTTTAAATGCTTCGGCATAGTTTCCACACAATTTCAAGAAATGCAATACAAAAACTCGAAAATTTAGTTCTTAAAAGGACTGTTTGTACTTAAAAGTACAATTTTGACAATAGGCAAAAAATGAGAATTACTCACAAAGATTCAACAACAACACGATATTATACAAAATAATGACTGACTATGATAATTATCAAACAATAAACGACAACGTTGCTGCATACGGCGCAATGTGACCAACCTAGCGATAATAAAATTCGGTTTGAACAAATTTTTTCAGCTTTAATCTAAATAAAATATATGTTACAAACATATGCTCTATAAAGTAAAATGAAGAGCTGCTGGGTATCTTAAATTAGACAAAAAAATTAATATCACACCCCATTTTGTGGGTTATGACTAGGGGCATAGCAAATAATAAATACTTCAATTTAACTTAATAATCAATTTAATTAATCTACGAATAATAAAATAATTATAAAACTAAATGTGTACTTACATATTATATTTATGGACGAACATCATCACTGGCTCGGGGGTAGTGTCAGGGTAGTGTAACGCCAATGCCGGAATCTCGCCGCGACCTTATCGAACATCAATTCTCGACTATCGACTGTTCCCCCAACAGGTGACATTTTTGTATTTATTGGTTCGTTACGTCGAATCATCGAATCAGCATTATTGGTCTATCGGTGCGATGACCGGTGCGATGACCGCGTTAGTGCTGATTTGATGATTTTATAAATTTGTAATATTGAAAGGAAATATTTTCGCAATTGCCAATTATGCTTATAACTTTGATTTTTAAAACTTTACTTTTGTTGCGTAAATGCTAATGAACTTTATTTATCTTATATTTCCTTTCAATCGAATTATTAATTTACGAAATATATTAATATTAAATATGTTACTTTATATATCGAATAATTCCATCCTTGACACTTCCCCCGCACCTCTAAAGCTGGACCCCAGCGATAATTCAAGATTTATGAAATTATACTTTTTAACAATAATTATTATACATTGCAATAAATTGTGCTTAACGTTTCATAATAAAAAAATGTTTTAAGTATACAATATTAAAAAAAAATTAAAAAAAATGTTTTTAAAGAAATTACTAACTAAAAAAAAATATAAAAAAAAGCTTCTCTATAAGTTTAAGGATGGCGATTAGCCGTTTACATATAGACAAAAAAAAATGTCTTTTAATACTGGCACTAACGTGAACTGCACAATACCTATATAGTTTTTAAGTTTCAATACTTTGCACTGACTTCGTTCATAAAACACCCACCCACAAATCTCGTCGGCTGCTCACGGAGGCTGAAAACTGAAGTTTTGATTGTAGTATCCACCTTCACATCATAAACCTAACGAATGCACACATGCCTCCCGTTCCCTGCACTTTGAAAAGCTCTTTGTTTTGGTAAGCTGTTTCTCAATACTTGCGTCCTTAGGGAGTTGTTTCTTGATATCGGTGTAGGCTGACAATGGAAACAAAATTCCAGTATGATTTTGTTTGTCATCTGGATTGGCGTCGAATTCATCTTTCGAAGAAGAGACCAGTTTTTAGACAAGACAATAACTCTTCCTGTAGCTGCTTATATCGCCAAACCAAATTTGACAGCACGTTCTGAACCCATTTTTGAATTGGACTACTTGCTTCGGACTGCATTACCATAGTGTACTGTTCACAAAGCTTCATAAACAAGGGTAGGCAGTTTGCATCGTATAGGCATGATGGTGTGGTACTACATTCTTCTTTCTCCTTCGGGGTTGAGTCCATACGTCGATTCTTCTCAGTGGTGTTCCTTGACTTGTTGCTTGGTATTGGCAGTTTTGACCAGTAATTACATGAAAAAAGAGAACAAAGAGTAAATATGTGCTCTTACTTACAGCTTATTGTATTAAATTATTATGTCTTATAAACTAGTTCTTAAAGTATATCAAACTTAATCCTATTTTAAGTTTGTTTGTTTAATTTCATTTTTCAACTTAGTTCAGAATATCATTTTTTTTTGTTCTTGACGGCAAGGGAGAATATAAAAATTTTATATGATTGGGCGTAAAACAAACAATAAACTTATATTTTCGTTGCAAATTTGTAGGATTTATGAACACTCCTACCTAATTTGTATGCCCTCTATCTCCTACCTACATTTGGGTTTATAATAATTTACTTTATTTCTTTTATTTTTTATATTAAGCGCTAAATAATTAACTCTAGTGGTTCAATACTTTTCGTTTCAAATTGATATTTGTCCTAGAGTTTGCGCGCAGTTAGGGTTAAATATCAATTTAAAACCTACACACTAGGGGAGCTCCAATAATACATGTCATTAATAAAGACATCATTAATATTTTATGTTAAGAAAAACATATCTTTTTTCCAATTATTTCAATATTCCATCTTGATTTTATTTTGAAGAAGACTAACTTGGGCATACAGAGTTGCCTTTCCAATACACGTATACACAATACTTATTCTATTTGTATGCATTCAATAGTTGCATTTATTTTATCCCCAGGAGATAGAGATAGGAGGTTCTGATTATCATTTGGCTCTAAATTATAATGAAATGTTCGATTTTCGCTAGATACGCAAGAGAGTTTAATATTTTTATTTTCATTGTTAAAATTACATCTATTTAAATTTTTTAAACGCCTATTATTTTGCCTTTTTAACTTTATAAAGTAATGCCAAATACAGTAAATAACTAAACATAAAAAGAAAACAATGAAAAAAGTGCAAACTAGCCCAAAAAGTATGTCATGAGACGTGTCGTGATCAAGTTTCGCACCTTGACCGTGAACCATTTGAATTAATGACGTTGCAACTGCTAGTCTATTACGATTACATAAGAGATATATTACTAAGACAGATAATACGATATTCCATATCATGAATAAAGTATCACTGTGAGCGCCATAGGTATCACTATAAGAATCAAATATTGGAAACGAATTTTTAATTGAATCTATGACTGTATCGATATTAGTTTTAGTTGAGGTTAAGTTGAGATGCGGCACCTGAAGGGTCCAGTTTGAATTTAAACATTCAGATAAATTTTTGAAAGTTGGAGAGACGTGTAACATCTTTGGTTTAAGAATAAAAGATTTTAGATTTGACCAAACTGCAGGTATAATATGAACTACGTTTGTATTGAATGGAGTTAGATATTCTACGCACGGAAATTTCTTTGGTATAATAATTTCGTTAGTGGAATGTAAATGACAATTGCAAGGTAGATGAATTTTTATAGCGCCTTGACCTGCAAAGTTTGATGATATTTTGTATTGGCTGATGCCTGTCTGTATGTCACATGATATCTCTAAATCGTTTTTGATGTGTGTTAGTACATATATTTCCTCGTCTATTTCGGATATGATCATCGCTGTTGCGGAGTGGCAATTCATTGGGCAGTACTGGCTTATTTCTTGTACTGTTGCTCCTGTATATAACTTTTTCGCGCATTGTGGCCCTTGTAGACTATCTGCAGAGAATCTAGGGATGTAGCACAATTTGTCGTGATAGGGTTTACACTGGTGTAGACCTGTTCCCGATATCTGTCTCATGCTATCTTTAAGATGTTTTGTTACCGATACTGCCATGTAAAGTGGTTCGTGTGATATTGAACATGTCTGATTAAACCATGCAAATGGTGTAGTTACTAACTCATATAACTGCCATTGTCGGTTGTTTTGGATTATCGGAACTTTGATGTGTATGAATAATTTAGTACTTGTGAATGAACAATCGCAAATAGGAATTTCGTAGTATCTTGATATCTCAGGTGTTTGGATGGCCAGTCCTTGACCTGAGGGAAATATTTCTTTATTCAATTCGTTTAAGTCTTTTATTAAAATTCGTGGATTAACTAAATCGGACGGTATTTTATGGTCTTTGCATGAGTTTATAATGGCATGTCTTCTTAATGCTCTTGTTAGGAGTACGATTCTCTTTAAACTTAGATATTGGTTATAAAGCATGTTTAACGTTAATACTTCTTGTTTGTCTACAGAGTTTTTTATGTTTTTCTGAATTTCTTCAGTATATCTCTCAATGTATTTTATTCTAGTTTCTGTGGTTTCAAATGCCTTTGCTACTGATTTTTCATATTCTTTGAAATGTTTCGAGTCTTCGCTAATCTTTTTTATAGTTTCGGAAACACCTTCGTTGATTTTATTTAACCTTTGAACCACATGTTTCTCAGTTTCTTCGACTAAATTCAATTTTTGCATTGTTGCCACTCCACAGCACCAAGACAATCCTGATCCTATAAAGTCTAGCGCTCTTCTTCGTCTTACTGTTGGCGGATCTTCGTATCTCATCGCCTTAGTATTCCAATTTTCATTAAGCATATTAAATTCTTCTGAAAATGCTTCTGAAAGTTGCCCCATTTGGTATAATATAATGCATTCTTTGTCATTCAAAACAGAGTTCTGACAAACATTTTTCAATGGCACGGTAGTGTTAATCTGATCTTCATCCCAACTTGTTTGGTAAGTTAGCGGAATTGTTGCCTCATATATTTTTGTATCTGGTAACGGTTTCCCATATATTAAATGCCTAAGATACGTTAGAGCCCAAATAACTGCTAATCCTTCTAATTCAGTTATAGTATAATTCTTTTCGGCGTTGTACCCGGCGCCTCCACCACATATGTCACACCCCATTTTGTGGGTTATGACTAGGGGCATAGCAAATAATAAATACTTCAATTTAACTTAATAATCAATTTAATTAATCTACGAATAATAAAATAATTATAAAACTAAATGTGTACTTACATATTATATTTATGGACGAACATCATCACTGGCTCGAGGGGTAGTGTCAGGGTAGTGTAACGCCAATGCCGGAATCTCGACCGCGACCTTATCGAACTTATTATCGACTATCGACTGTCGACTGTGCCCCAACAGGTGACATTTTTGTATTTATTGGTTCGTTACGTCGAATCATCGAATCAGCATTATTGGTCTATCGGTGCGATGACCGGTGCGATGACCGCGTTAGTGCTGATTTGATGATTTTACAAATTCGTAGTATTGAAAGGAAATATTTTCCAAATATTGAAAGGAAATATTTTCGCAATTGCCAATTATGCTTATAACTTTGATTTTTAAAACTTTACTTTTGTTGCGTAAATGCCAATGAACTTTAATTATTTTATACTTCCTTTCAATCGAATTATTAATTTACGAAATATATTAATATTAAATATGTTATTTTATATATCGAATAATTCCACCCTTGACACATTTTTGCCAAAATTTTATTTAGTTAGGTTCATACACTTTAGTGTTAATTTCGATATGATTTATGACGTGCATCGGAAAATGTTTTGCTATTGCCGTATATCTTGGGTGCTGTTTGAGATCCAATTCACTTTATGGATCTCAAAGTTTACAAATTTTCTATAAAATGAATTGTATATTCTAATACTGTCTAAACATAAAGAGTCTGAGTATTAAAATTAAGAAAAAAAAACAGATGCGCATTAAACAAACAGAGAAAGTGTCTTCTACAAAAGCGAATATCTCCAACAAAAATGAAGCTATTGAGATGTATCAAAAAACGAACTATCGAGAAAGGCTGTATCTAGATGATAAAATAATTTTTAAGTTTCTTGCTGCCTTAACAGATTTTACAGGGTGTTCCAAACTTTTACCAAAATATCAAAATTCTATTTGCTCTCGTATAATTGAGAGATGAGAACTTTCATTTTTAATTTAGAAATATGTATTAATATTTCAAATAATTTAGCTACATATTGCTTAAAAAATCGTCAAAATCGGCTCATTAGAACAAAATAATATACTAAATTTGTCGGGGGGAGTAAAATGGGTAACTGTTTATTCCTCATTTTTAATATTACCATGGGATTTCCAATGTTTGGGTCGGCGATGCAATCAATGCACGGTATAGTTTTCTTAGTTATTTTACTGTTCTTACTTGGTCAAAAGCTCTGGTAAGAAAAGCTGCAAAAGTAGATACGAAAGCCACCACCCTGTCTCTGCAAGCTGCTCCAATAGCTGCTCCGACAAGATTTTGTTCGGCAATGAAGCATTCGATGTACCTGTTGGGGTCGAATTTTTTCAGCTGTTCAGAGAACGTGGAATTCTTCATGTCACCGTCTAAAGCGATCACCCTCGGGTTGGTTTGAGCGATTTTTACCAAGGCTGTTCCGTAAGCTTGACGGGTGGCTATGGCTTCACCCAGTTTATAGCTTGGTGGGGAGGAGAGAGTAATATTTCTGATATTAACTTGAGGAGCGACGTTGAGTGGTTTAGGTATGGTGTATTTTAGGTCACCTGCGAAAAAGTGTCGTTTTTAACAAATGACGATTTTTCAAAATTTTCGATAACGTAATATTAAATTGTGCATATTCTACCGGGTGCGGCTCAAAAGTGGCTCACTTCTATAACTTTTTATTTCTTCAGATAAGAAAACGAGATTTGGTATGTTAGTATATGAGATAAATTAGGATTGATTGACGTATTCAATTGTTTTTGGTCACTTCCTATTTCACCGGAAATGACTACAGTTTTGATTTTTTAATGACACCCTCGGTATTTTTTTCTTTATTCGATAGAAAATGACATTCTGAATAGAATGACATATCAAATGTCAACTTTTGACATTCTCGCTTAATAAAAAATCGTATTTTAAAATTGAATCTAGAGTGCCATGGCTATGTTAAAAACACTAATTCTTAATCAAGGAGCCTTGGAAAAATAGATTTGATCGTCTAATGTTTTTAGTGCCTTGTCCTGGCCAGTTAGAAAATGCTCAAATCGTATTTTTAATCGTATCTCATTTTTTTCAAATGGAACGAGGGTGGCTTATTAGCATATTTGGAAAATGCATTTTTTTACGAATAATTTGATACCACACACTTGGTATTTCGAGTCAAAATTTCGTTACGAACCGCAAGTTAGTATAATTTCAAATACACCATATGCAAAAATGTCAAAAGTTGACATATGATATGTCATTCGATTCAGAGTGTCATTTTATTTCGAATAAAGTAAAAAATCACGAGGGTACCATTTAAAAATCAAAAGTTGTAGTCATTTCCGGTGAAACAGGATGTGACCGAAAACAATTGAATACATCAATCAATCCTAATTTATGTCATATAGTAACATACCAAATCTCGTTTTTTTAACTGAAAAAATAAAAAAGTTATAGGGGTGAGCCACTTTTGAGACGCACCCGGTATATAATTTCTCCAAAATATTATAAATTGTAGCTTTGTGTTTTGTGACAATTATTTTATTATCTTCTATCATATGAAATATGAATCAGTTGCTGTGTCATTTCCGTGTGTCTTACGAAATTACGTTTATGGGTAGAGATACAAAGACTCGGTTTTCACATTGCTATGCTACTTTTTTGTGAAACAAAATGCTACACACAGATTTGTCCTTTAGTTCCGGAAATAAAGGGAGCATTTGTAGAGGATTCTGGAAAGGAGAAAAAATAAAAACTGTGCCTGGTAGAGTTTTTTTGGCGTAAAATCCAGTGGGGAAACTAGTTTTTTGTGGAACTTGTAATTTTCGAAATATGTAATAAAATTAAAAAATGAACTAATGTTTTCTTAAACGGTACACCCTGTATAGCATTCTAAGTATATATAATTTTTATTTTATTTGCCTTATGTGCTTTCTAAAATGTAATACACTCTATAGTTATTTTCATACAAAGGTAGATATGCATTATTTAACAATTATTTAACTTAAATCATTATTTTATTTTATTTAATTTAAAAGATCATTTTGGATTTCCATCATTTTTTTTATAAACTCCACTGAAAATGAGTTATTGATATTTTCGATGCACTTTTGAAATAATTTCACACATAGAAACTAGCCTGGAATTCAACAATCAAAATTTGACGTAGAATAAATTATTCGATTGTTTTGATTTCCAATTTAAAACGCCTGCATATGTATGATCGAAAAAAACGGCGTCAGCGATGGTTATGGAATAAAACTGCTGTCATTTTATATGTAAATTTATATGGGAAATGTCATCGATCGTCATTTCCCAGCCAACTGGACGCAGTTTTTTTCGATCATACGGTACCTTACTTATAAAAATAAGTATATAGAGTATATTATACTTTCAGCAAGCTCATAAGAAGGCCAATAAATCAAAAAAATAATATACAAGGTATCCCATTAAAACAAACATAAGTTTGGTTCATATTTCAAGAACGACAGATTCCAATGACCAACTATAATAGTAACGCCACTAAATTCCACATGAAAAATTCTTTGAGACCCAGTTTTCACCTTTTCAATAAGTTGTAAGATATTCGAAATACGAGGCGAGTCATCAAATCACATCTTATAGTACCTCTACTCATAAACGAGAAACCCTGTACGAAACGAGATCACACGAAAATGCGCCACCCTGTATATAATTTTTTTTAACTTTTAAGTAATTAACTCAACTTGTTGAGAATACCAAGTCCCAAACACATGTTAAATTGTCACTGAATAAACCAAACAACGATACTAAATCATCGTTTTCTCCGTCTGTAAAGCTTCGTTCAGAACCTCGCAATTAGTGGAATAAATTAGTGGCTTCAAAAATTAGCGTAGAAGTTTGTTCCTTTAATTCCAATGTCAGCATTCAGAACATCAAAATTAGTGGTAGTAATTTTCAATTAACAGAAAAAGTTACCAAACTTTTAACTTTTCCACTAATTATACTTAACCCTTTACTTCACTCTGTATCTCTTGAGATACATTAAATAAAAAAATTCGTAACAACTACTATAGATGTTCTGTAATTTAACTAGTGCACTCTATGCACAGTTTATGTATTTAAGAGATAGTTCCCTGCGCATAGCTAGCCTAAATTTGTACTAGGTGGCAGTCGGGTGCATAATGGCGTCGAGTGCAGGCGGGTGTTTCGACATGCAGATAAGTTTTTGACATAAATAAGTGGTATTTTTTCAAAAATCCATTAACACCTAGTCAAGACATGAAAGAGAGGCATCAACTACTTCGACATTACAATATTTGTATTGTCTAATTATTTTTTGATTAGTTTTAATCCAGAAAATGATTAACGTATCTCACAGGATACACCGCCATGATCAATATAAATAAAGATTTAAATTCCGTATCTTACAAGATACATCGTCATGTTTATGTAGATATTTTTCTCCCAGAATTTTTCTTTTACTCAAGGTTACAGAACAAGAAAAATATTATCCTTGGTTCCAATTGGTTCCAAAGAAAAATATAAAGTCTGATACCCAGAGAAGCTCATCATCTGAAGATGAAATACAACATACTTGCCGCCGTCGAATTGAAGAGAATGATACATCCTCTGCGCCAAAAGAAAAATATAAAGTCTGATACCCAGAGAAGCTCATCATCTGAAGATGAAATACAACATACTTGCCGCCGTCGAATTGAAGAGAATGATACATCCTCTGCGCCATCGATTTCTTCCTCGCTAGAAAATTTAAGTATATTTTCCGAAAGCGAATCGCAAAATATAATAGGCGATCATATTGCTCTTTCTCTATGAAAAAGCTGTATACTTTTTCAGAGCATTTCAAAACAGCTGTTACTAAACCTGTATTAGTAGTAACCTAGTACCTAGAGGGAATCTGATTCACCAAACTCATCTCCAAGGACGGCCACACCGAATAGTTTAAGAAAACTGACGCCTTCCAATTTCCCGAAAATATCAGTCAGTGTTTCCCCGGCCAGTTTTACGCGTCCTAAAAGACCCAGGCTTTTGAAAAAATGAATTGGTATTAGACGAAGTAAGCCTTCCCTAAATGGGAACGTTAACCATTTGAATACTGCGCAAAGTGAAAATTGATATTGTCAAGGATGGAATTATTCGATATATAAAATAACATATTTAATATTAATATATTTCGTAAATTAATAATTCGATTGAAAGGAAGTATAAAATAATTAAAGTTCATTGGCATTTACGCAACAAAAGTAAAGTTTTAAAAATCAAAGTTAGTAAGCATACTGGCAATGGTGCGAAATATTTCCTTTCAATACTACGAATTTGTAAAATCATCAAATCAGCACTAGACGCGGTCATCGCACCGGTCATCGCACCAATAGACCAATAATGCTGATTCGATGATTCGACGTAACGAGCCAATATCCCGCCGAAAAAGTGATGATGCCTGTCCATTGACAGTCGACAGTCGACAGATCGACAGTCTGATAGTCGATAGTAAGTTCGATAAAGGTCCCGCGGTCGAGATTCCCCATTGGCGTTACACCCTGACACACCCCATTTTGTGTGATGATGTTCGTCCATAAAAATAATAAATACTTCAATTTAACTTAATAATTATTTTAATTAATCTAAGATTAATACAATTGATTATTAAGTTAAATGTGAAGTTTATTTATTATTTGCTATGGACGAACATAACCACATATGTCTGGGGGTAGTTGTCTAGGGTAGTGTAACGCCAATGCCGGAATCTCGACCGCGACCTTTATCGAACTAATTGTCTACCGACTATGGACTGTCGACTATCGACCGTCGATCATCGAGTGGCTCAGGTGACATTATTTTTGTCGGGATATCGACTTATCGTCGAATCATCGAATCAGCATTATTGGTTCATCGATTCGTGACGTCCGATGATCGTCAGTGCTGATTTGATGATTTTTCAAATTCGTAGTATTGAAAGGAAATATTTTCGCAATTGCCAATTATGCTTATAACTTTGATTTTTAAAACTTTACTTTTGTTGCGTAAATGCCAATGAACTTTAATTATTTTATACTTCCTTTCAATCGAATTATTAATTTACGAAATATATTAATATTAAATATGTTATTTTATATATCGAATAATTCCATCCTTGACAATATCACCTTACGAATATTTTTCTTTGTTTTTTAATCGAATTTGGAGGAGTAGAGGAATATTTAGAGTTTGATAAACAGCTTCAAAAAATGGTTGAGGTTCTTTTTCTCAGGTAGTATGCAATGAAAACAAAGTTTGTATCGTAAAATGGTACTTTAAATGGATTTTTTTTTTGAGAATTTTAACCTACCTGTGTAACTATTAAAATAATATCCAAAAACAATACGTTCTCTTTTGTTTATTTAGTCTAAGTTTTAGTATTTCAATGTTAGTAATAATTGGCAATGTATATTTTAAGATACATTTATTATTTATCGTTAGTTTCTTCAAAATAGGTAATATATCCTATGGGATACATATAAAATCTCCACCAAGAGCAAAAAAAAAAATTTTTTTGCTCTTGGCATTTTTTCCTAACTACATTGATGTTACTTATTTCATTAATCATAAAATTTTAGGCAAAATCAGAAATATTTTCTTTCGCCAAGTAAAGGGTTAAAAATTTGCGAGGAATGTCATTTTTTGGTTAGAAATCAAAAGTTTATTGTTTTATAAGCTAAATATTAGTTTTTTTTAGACATTGTAAATGCTCCTAAACTAAAAAGTATAAAGTGTAATTGAAATCACTAATTTATACCACTAATAATTGCAAGGTTCTGACATTAAATAATAAACTTTTGTTGTCTAACCATATTATGTCTTGACTGATGATAATCAAAAGCCAAAATGACATTCATCGCAAATTTTGAAGTTTAATTAGTGGAAAAGTTAAAAGTTTGTTAACTTTTTCCACTAATTGAAAATTCCTACCACTAATTTTAACGTTCTGAATGCTTACATTCAAATTACAGGAACAATTACAAGGAACTAATTGAAACCACTGATTTAATCCACTGATTGCGAGGTTCTGAATGAAGCTTAAGTCTTTATCCCTTAAGCTTGATTTTCATGCGTCCGCTATCCGTTGATACGATGGTCAGACGGCTCTCTGATTGGTCATAGCGTTTTTGCGCCACTTTTCATCCGTAAATTTTTTACTCCAGCCCATCAACGGAGAAAGATCGTACGATAAAGGCACAAACCCCCTTTAGAACTTTTTCTTTATTGGCCATAAACAAGAGTAAAAGACTAACCGCCCAAACAAACACTAGAGGCGCCACTGGTCATCAAATGGTGTAAAAATTGCGAACATTTAATCATCCAATTTTGACACAAGGGGTCGCGCTTAACTTTTTTTAATTTAAAGTTTTAATTTTAATTCAATTTTCATTGTTTTCAAACTATATTATTAATCTTTGTTGTATTTTGTGAATTTATAAATGTTTTCTTAGTATAAAATTGCATTATATCAATTTAAATTATATTACATACATATTTAAAATTAAAATATTATGACATATATGTCAGTTGCCGTCGTTATAAGTTAGTTATTGTCAGAAATAGTTAAAATCATGTTAAAACATTAAAATTCACAAGGATATTTTATATTATTTCAAAAACAAAAACATAATGGTACAGCGTAATGTTAATATGCCGCATGCCGGTCCAAAACAAAAAGTGCTGATATATTTTTCAGTTTTCGTTGTCAGCCGCGGAAGTTTCAGTGATTTTAGTGTTGTCGAATATTTTTATTTGTGAAATAGAAATATTGCGTTTGGATTGCAAAACTAAAAGTAGAAGTTTTATTGAAATGTAAGTAAGCGTTTATCCATTTCATATTTAACTTTTTTCATACCTACGACAAATATACATATATTGAAATTTTGTTTACTGTAATTGACATAATTGATATGTAATGTATTCCATTTAAATTTATAATATATTACTTTACAATTAAAAAAATGTAAATTTAAAAAATATATTAAAAATATATAGGTACACGAGAGGCGCTACTTCAGTCCGCTTTATTATTTACTTTCATTTCTTAACATGACAGATGAAGTTCTAAAGGGGGATGTTTTGTGGATAAAGGACGTTTTGACATTTTTTTTGACAAATTTAATCTAACCTTAATAAAAATATACGTAAATAAGTACAAGAGAACGTGAACAGATGTTGAATATAGATGCTGCGCATCTTTTAAGAGTTGCTTTCATTACTGCGCATCATGCAGAAATAAAAGCAACGCGTACTGCCAGCCAGACGGTCCGCACTCTGTTCAGGAGAGCATAGCATAGCAAAAGACATACTAAAGAACCAGCTTTCTTAAAATCTCTCTCGAAAACGTTGCTAGCTCTTAGACTATAAGTAAAATAGTGTTATCGCAATGGAAATGAAAATATAAAATGACACGAATCACGAGCAAATCGTATATCCGATGAACGGACGCATGAAAATGTAATAAATTTAAAAACTGCGTAATTTTCTAACCAATCGAAGTCGTTAAATTCATCCAATAAAATTAATATCGTACCATGGTATAGTCCGACAACGGATGCATAAATCAAGCTTTACCCCTCAATTAAGAAATTGATGACTTTTTAAAATTATTCCCAAACAATTCTAGTGAAGCTTTAAAACGCATACCTTGATATTTTAAAAGACCTCTAAGATGAGTCAAAATCCTTTCTGTTTCCTTGCCCAAAGCCTTTCCGTGCCAGTTTTCCTTGTCTTCGATACCAGGGAAATCTCTTCCTTTGTAGGTTTTGGCTATAAGGGCCGTAGGTTTGCCCTTTACAGATTCGGCATCGTCGAAAGCCTTCACCAAGGCGCCTACATCATGGCCATCCACGATGACTGCGTTCCAGCCGAACGCGTCCAATCTCTGCTTGTAGAGGTCGAGATTGTGGGCGACAGCGGTGGGTTCGGATTGACCCAGCCGGTTGGCGTCGATTATCAGAACCACGTTGTCCAATTTGTAGTAACTGATGAAAGCGATAGATTCCCAAATCGAACCTTCGGCGCTCTCACCATCTCCGATCAGACAATAAATTCTAAAATAAATTTTTCATTTTATTCAGGGTGGTCCGAACAATATTCCGGAAATTTCGGCAGCATATTCTGCAAATAAAAATAAGTAAAAAAGTTCGTATAAATGCATGTCCTAAAATGCTTAGTTTCGGAGCTACAGTATGTAGAAATGTCATTTTTATTTCGATTTTTTCCAAATAATTTCTGAACTAATGTCGATATTTGGATGAAAATTGGTGTCTGGCAGTTATTTGACGTGAAAAATTTGATTTTGATATCACTTATAGAAAGTGCCATCTACATATTTTTAACTAGTTTGAAGAGTAATAAATTTTTGTCCGTACCTGTATAAAACTACTGAGTAAAAAATATGCATTTACGATGATTTTTACGTAAAAAAAGTCTCTTGGTAAAAATAGCTAGTAAGTGTAGGTTTACATGAATCCGCAATGCGTCGTCCATCGTTGATTTTATGTAATTTTATTGGTTTATTTCAAAAATTACAGCTCATACTTGAATATGACTGGACTAACGGAACGACGGATCATGCATTACGGCCATTACGGGTGCATAGAAACTCACCTTAAAGCTTGATTTTCATGCATCCCTTATACCCTGTTATACGTTGATACGATGGTCCGACGGTGCTCTGATTGGTCATAGCGTTTTCGCGCCACTTTTCATCCGTAAATATTTTACTTCAGCCCGTCAACGGACCCGTTCATACCATGACGGACGTTTTGGCAAATTTAATCTAACCTTAATAAAAATATAAGTAAAATAGCAAACTCGTTATGGAAACGAAAATATAAAATAACACCAACGTATATCCAAAAAGGAGGCATGAAAATGCAATAAATTTAAAAAATGCGTAATTTTTCTAACCAATCAAAGTCTTTAAATTCTACCAATAAAATTAATATCGTATCATGGCATCGTCGGATAACGGATGCATGAAAATCAAACTTAAAGGTTGCAAAAAAATTATGATTAATTTAAAAAAAAATAAACGTTCCCAAATTTATAATTTCAGTCAAATATCTAACTCTACTCATGTAAGTATCTACTTATGCTTAATTTTTTGTCAATTGACTATTTCCATTCTAAATATCTTGAGAACGGTTGATCCTAACGATTTTTACAAAAAGACATTTTTTACGTACATACATACTGCCATTTTTTACGTAAAATATCACGGAAATGTACGTTTTTCCACTCAGTAGTTTTATACAGGTACGGTCGAAAAGTTATTAACCTTCAAAACAGTTGAAACACATGTAGGTGGCGCTCCCTACAAACAGGAGTCATATTGACATCAAAATACAATTTCTCATGTCAAAAAACTCCGAGACATCAATTTTCATCCAAATATTGACGTTACTTTAGAAATTATTTGGAAAAAAATCGAAATAAATTTATATACACTGTATCTCCGAAACAAAGCATTTTAGGACATACATTTATACGAACTTTTTTACTTATTTTTATCTGCAAAATATGCTGCCGAAGTTTCCGGAATACAGTTCGGACCACCCTGTATACTGAATTTTAATAGCATTTTTTTTTCGATGACAGAATGTTTGAAAATACACCAATATACCAAATCGCAATCTACAACAATACACCAAATCGCGTTCTTTAACTCTCGACGCGTATTTCGCTAAGCAAGTTTAGAAAAGAAGAAACATTAAACAATCATCAACGAATAAACTAAACTTCTGTCCAGATTATGAGTTTAGTTTTAGCCATCTGTTGATGATGTTAACATAGCGAAACGCGCATCCAGTGCAGAAGTAAAGTGTTTTGGTGTATTGTCGTGAATTATATGAAAATTATATACATTTTTCTAAACATAATTAAACAACTTTAGCACAAAACCAACTAAGGAGATTTGTAACAACTTATGGGTCAAGTTCAGAATTAGATTGTAATTCTATTGAGATAAAAACTCAAAGATACTAAAATATATGTTATAATGTTGATACGTTATCATGAAAAAAATTTAAATATTTCCTTTTATATAATAAATCAAAATAGATAAAATTTAGATTAATGGCCCAATATTCCGTGGACATCGAACAACTAAGTACATATTTTTTAATCAAAATAGGTCAAATGGTCACAAAATTTACCTCTATACAAAAGCGTTTCGTTCGTCCGTTAGAGGGCATCAATCTAAAATAAAACCTAACTTTAATCAATTTAAAATTTATGAAGCTTATTATCAAAAATGATTTCAGATACTGACATAAAATTTTACATTTTCGCCAACTAGATTTTTTGCGCAAACTAGAATTGATGGAAGTCAGATTCGGAAAAATATTTTTTCCTCAAAAAGTAAGCGCGTTGACGATTTTTTACAAGAGACTAAATATGTAGTAAATACTAGAAGGACCATTTTACGAAAAGATAAATCTGTCGTCGATAGAGTTGGAAAATATTTCTACTAAAATTTATGTAGGGGTGGGGGTAGTTTTTCCCCTCAAACTATAGCAACCTAGCAAAACATAAGCACCCCAAATACTATTCAAATCGGAGTAACGGTTCTTAAAATACATTTTAAAAATGTGTCTTAAAGTTTGATGCCCTCTAACGGACAAACGAAGCACTTTTGTATAGGCTTGATGCCAATGACTAAAGAATATAAGGACATGTAACGCCCCCCATCATTTGGTCACCAGCGACAATTTTAGCGATTTTTAATAGTTTGTGTGTAGTAAACTTTGTATAACCTTTATTACAATGGTGATTAGTTGCTCAGCTTTCAAGTGTAAAAGCAGCAGCGATAAGAAAGAGCCAGGAGTTACGTTTCATAGGTAAATAAACAGTCCACTCCAACTTTTTAGCGTTTTCTTATTGAATTCGATAATTATTCTTCAATTTCAATTAACATCTATATGTACTTGATATGTGCTATACGCCGATACTAGTTTTTTGCCTTTTGTTAACATTTTAATACGTTTTTTTCGTAATTAATTAGGATGATACACCATAGGCGTAGTCGAAACAATTATCAATAAACATAAATATTGCTTCAAACAGCTAGGTTAAGAAAAATATGTGCCACGGCACTGTTTGGTGACATCGTCACAATTTGCTCTCGGGTATTATTTGTCCTTGGATTCTTTAGTCATTGCTTGGTGCATTCCGCCGGCGCTGCCACCGCCGGAAAAATATCGTAAATAACGAATACATACAAATACACGGGTTTAAATGGCGAGTGAACGAAAAAATTAGTATATAATTATTCTATAAAAGTGTTAGAAAGTATAATTTGTGGAAATTCTAAACAAAAAAAAATAAAAAGGTAAATATTTTGATATCTTCAGAAAGTCTAACTTGCATTATATTTATTATTCCAGTTAAAAAAAATAGATGAGATCAACTACGGTAGCGAGCATATTTTTGTCACCGGTTTTGCTAGTGGGGCATAATTTGAGCTATTTCGGATGTAAAGAAATTTTTTAAAGTTACATAATTTTAATTTTAGAAGATGTTCATAAAACATTTAATCACTAGTTGATTCAAAAAGTATACCATTAATATTGCAAATTATATTTCATCCTCTCATAGTATATGTCTATTTAATTTTTTGATATGTAACGAGCACTTTATTTACTCACTTGTTTAGTCGAACTGCTTGAATCCATTTTTGCTATTGATCAGATCGGTGTAAGAAATTATGAAGCTATAAAATGTTTCAGAAAAGTTGAATATCCGGGAAAGTTGAGTTATTGAATGTTATTGCACCCAGCAACGCCCTAATTACGCACTCCTTTACGCGTTAACATTTATTTAGTCAATTTTATAAACATTTGAAATAGTCACAACACGTGAACTCTACAGGGTGAGTCTTAAATATATGCAAATATTTTCAGGGCTTGTAGATTTCGATAATAGAAACATATTTTCTCTTTACAATTTTTCAAATAAGTCCAAAATAACCGACTTATTTAAGTTTGAAAATATAAAAAACAAATTATTTTTTTTTGAAAAAATTTTGAGTCACCGGATTTTTTCTGAATTTGCATCCCTTTGATTGTCTTGATATTAAGAAATTATACCGTGGGAAAATTTGCGGTGAACAGGAAGTTCTAAAAAGTTTTCGGAAAATATACACGCAAATTTAAATGCACGATTCTCAACATCTTTTTTAGCGAAAAAACCCTCAGAGACGTGTTCCTGGGGTCAAAATATACTACTCCTGAAAATATTTGCACTTATTTAAGACTCACCCTGTATATTGATGATTTCTGATTTCTGCCGTAGAGTGCGCTGCGGTCGGAATTTGTTGAAATCAACTGAAATGTATCAACCCTATAGAGGTAAATTATGTCCAATAAACTTATTTTGATTTTTGAAAAAAATATGTATAGTTCTATGTAATGTCTACGGAATATTGCGGCACCCTGTACAGGGTGGGTCAAATTCGACGTTTTTATATGGAAACACCCTTTTCTATAGGAGATAGACGAAAACTAATATCGGTGTCTGGAGCCCAATTTTCATCAAAAACATGATGGTGAAAACCGCACATCAATATCTGTTACCGTTTCGGAGTTACGGGGTGGTTTTCAAAAATGTTCATTTTTAACAAATCGCTGTAACTTTTTTGCTATGGAAAATTTTGTATTTCTATAACATTTCCAAAGCACATGCACGTAAATTTAATGGTTTAAATATATTTTTTTTAAAGTCATAATAATTTAAGAGTTATCAAGCAAAAAAATTGATTATTTGGGACACCCTCTATATTTTTAATTAACTGAAAAGAATTTAAAATTACCTTTCCAAAAATATAGCACACTTGATATTTTGTTATAATCCCCTTCGAAATACAGAATTTTTAAAAGTTCGCCACTTTTAACTAGTAGGCTTTGGACTCCTTATTGATGATATCCCTTAATGGAACTCGAAAACATATTTTTCCAGCAAGACGACGCACCGCCTCTGAACATTGAAGTTATCAGCAAATTTTTGCATCCAATTTCAAGAATAATTGAATAGCTAACCAAGATTCCAGCCGTTGGCCGTCGAGGCCGCCTGACTTAGTGCCCATGGATCTAATCCTATGGATATATTTGCGGAAAAATAAAGGTTTCTTATTCTTCCGTATAATCTAGACAAGAATTATAAATACTTAGCAGTTATGAGAGGGTATCTTTCACCCCTACTGAGTTAATGAATTCCGCTAGAAATGTTCAAAAACTGCCCCGTCTGTCCATAACAGAAGATCCAGGTCGATATGTCGAACACCTGTAGCAAAGTCTTATGTCTTGGTTTGCTATTTATTTTTATTGTTATTAGATATAGTTTAAATGTGTTGATGTTGGTTAAATATATTTTAAATAGTTATAAAATTCTGCATCTCTAATAGCAAATCATATTTTCGTTTTAATTGATACTCATAGCTAGATTTTTTTGCCGGTTTACAGCCGGTGTCGTTCAAAGCCTACTCATTTAAAGCGGGCGAATTTTTATATACTCTATATCTCAGGAATCGAGCAAAATATCCAAGTGTGTTATATTTTTGGAAAGGTAATTTTAAATTTTTTCAATAAATTAAAAATATACAGGGTGTCTATAAAAAAATCAAATTTTCTGTTGATAATTCCTAAATTATTATGAAAAATTATACTTAAACCATTAAATTCTACGTAAAAAGGTGCTTTGGAAATGTTTTTATAAAAATACAAAATTTTCCATAGCAAAAAAGTTACAGCGATTTGTTAAAAGTGCATATTTTTGAAAAACACCCCGTAACTCCGAAACGGTAACAGATATCGATACGCGGTTTTCACCATCATGTTTTTGACAAAAATTGAGCTCGAGACACCGATATTAGTTTTCGTCTATCTTCTCTAGAAAAGGGTGTTTCCATTAAAAAGCGTCGAATTTGACCCACCCTGTACATTAGTTCTCAATTATCAGCGTAATACGGCAGATTTATTCTCATCAGCCACGAATTCATTAGTTTTAGGATGATATGTTATTTTTATGTTATTTTTATAACTTACTTTTTATCACACACTTATTCCAAATATTTTTTGATCTTATCTCGCACGATATCTCAAAGGATAGGATAACATACAATAATTATTATTGATTCATTGTTAAATAGTAGTTTTCATTTACATTTATCGTTAAGAAAATATACGTTGATTTTTTTAAACAGAAAAGTTCTCACCTTGCGTCAATCTTGTCATAATGTTTAACAGTGTAGGCCATACCGGCTGTGATGGCCAAACCTTGGCCCAAAGAGCCCGTACCGACATCGACGAAGTTCAATCGGGGTGTGGGATGGCCTTCAAGGTCGCATCCCAACTGTCTCAGTTTCAAAATTTCTGGCGCCGGAATGAGACCGTTTTCGATCCAGGCGGCGTACAGTGCTGGGGCTGCGTGTCCTTTAGACAGGACGAATCTGTCACTTGACGGGTCTCTGGGCGAACAGGTGGCGTACCGCATGGTGTTGAAAAACAGAACGGACATGATCTCGGCAATGGAGGCGCATGTTGTGGGATGGCTGAAAATCAATTTTATTTAAATTAAAAAAAATTGTGACATGATTATTGATTACTTTTTCACTATTTTTAAATTATTACTCTGAACTTATGCTAATGTTGTTTAAGTCAATGCTAGACATGCTGGTGATAATGCATCTGTTATAGTGACCAATTATTTCGATGTTTTGTCCAAATTATGATGACAAAAAAAAATCCCGGTCGAATTGCCATAGAATAACTTCGGGTTTCTGCATAATATTAATGGAACACAATTATTAAGGAGTGTAGAGTTGCAGATGACTGGTCTGCCTCCTTTCTTACGGTCACGCAGATGTTGGGTAGCGCTTTACTTGCAAAATCGTTACAACTATTACAAGAAATCCTGAACACATATACCTGGGCATACTAGGCTTTGGGCCTTAAGCTGAACAATTAAACTAAAACCATATGCACTCCCCCGGAATATCACAACAATGCTATAAAAATAGGAGAAGAACTATTAGAATATGTAGCGGAATTCGATTACCTCGGCAGTTTGATTTTGGAAAAGGCCAATCTCGACCCAGAAGTTAAGCACAAGATTAGCAGCGCCTCGAGAGCATTTTGGAAACTAAAAGACAGGGTTTTCTACAAACATGACTTTAGCACATAGACAAAACTTGCAGTGTATCGATCAATAATAATCCTCACCATGTTATATGGAAGCGAAACCTGAGTGCCGTACCGCTAACACATAAAAGCATTAAACAAGTTGCAACAGAGACAACTTAGACAATTCTTAAGAATCAAATAGTTCCACCATGTCTCAAACCTATCAGGGTTGACACAAGCTACACAATTGTGTACTTTGCTACACATTTGCTTCAATGATTGCACAGCTACACCACAATCACCTGAGCTACACACTTTGAAAATTTACATATTTCGTATAAAAAATAATAGCAGAACAGTAAATCAGCTAACAAAAGCTGATTTTTTTGCTTTTAAGTTATCTAAGTTGGTACATCAAAAGAGGTGGCAAGTGTACTTTAAATTTTGAATTGACAAATATCATTTTCTGTCATCAGTGTTCAGGTGTTCAGTAAAATGTCAGAGTATGAACTGAGTCATGAGTCAAAGACCAATAGACAGCCAAAAACGGTGAATAAATAGGATTTCTTAATCCTTAAATAATACATAATACGTACTTTAGCCAAATTTCCCTGCTCAATAACGTCACTGTAGACCACAGTCTCACTTCCAAACGTTTGCATACGTGAATATTCAATTCCTTCGATTCAATTCCTTCCATGTCAGCAATGACTGCAGTTTCTATAGACAAATTTGGCCGATTAAACTGTCCTGAGTAGTTTACAGTTTTTAAACAGAATTATCCGGTCTAATTTGTCCATAAAATCTTTAGTTTCGCGGCATCACTTTTGACGTCACTGCAATCCTTGCTCCCTCAACCCTTGCACGAAAGGAAATGAAATGGGGAATGAATATATTGACGCATACAAACGAGTTGAAGTGAGACTCGTTATCATGCTGTAAAATTTGTCGAACGTACGTCTTATTGGATAGTTGTAGACGGTAAGAGGAAACTGGATGGACAAATCAAAAGATTCAGGGATATTTTCCATGAAAACGTAAAGATATAGGATAAGCATGCACAATCAGTGGGAAGAAGCAACGCACAATAGAACGCAATGGAGAATTGTAAACTCAGTTAACAGCGACAACCACAAAGCAACGAGATTTTTGAATGTCCGGAGTGCGGAAGCGGGCTTTTCAGTCACAGAAAAGCCCATGAAAGAAACCCCTTGCGTAACTATCGGACGCGTGTCAAATACTCGTCAGCGAGTAATGGCAGTAGTAGTAGTAGTCACGCAGATATGGCATCAAAACTGCTTGAATTATCGAATGAAACCAAAATTAGAATCTTATTCTACCAGATCCATATTAAGTATTAAAACTAAATCGATGAGAATCTCTATCAATACGAGTACTGTCACTACCATTATTATTGGAACAACACCATTGGTGGACTGGTCACACATTTTGGGCGAAGCGGCAACAACATCGCTGGCAGAACTATTGATTGGAACCTTCAAAACAGTAGAAGATTCGGTCGTCCAAGGCACAGATGGCATAGAGCAATTAGCAAGGACATCGCAGCAGTAAACCGATCATGGCGAGATGTTAAATTAATTTCAATCAACCGAACCCGCTGAAGAACAAGCCTTATGCTTCACGTGAGTGTTAATTATGAAGAATGTATCAAAACATTATTTAGAAGCATGCCGAGAAAAATACAAGCATTAAATAACGATCTAGAGATTTTATGCTCTAATTATACAGGGTCCGGCAATAGTGCGTCGGGCATCTGTAGCTCCTAGAATAAAAAAATTGGGAATTTTAGTTAAGTGTAGACTTAAAGCATGTATGAGAATGTATTTCAGGAAAATATTTTAATTTTTATAGGGTGGCTCAAAAAGTGTGAGTGGATCGGGATGTGTTTTTTTTTAAATGGAACACCCTGTCTATTATTGCATTTTTGTCTTCCTTTGAGATCATTTTACATAATCCTAAGATATGAGTAAATATATTTCGATAGTTTCAGAGATCTTAATAAATAAATAAATAATATATATTTTTCAACCTTCACTAAAAAAATATTATAAATGCAAGAACTGTCCTGAAATCAAAACTATATTAGGTATTTACTTTAAATTGTCTGTACTTACTTTGCTATAAATATCGTAATCTTAAATGATACAGGATGTTCAAAATTCTAATTAAAATAATATAATGTGGAAAATGCCATATTAAATATAAAACCGCAAATATCTGCGAGATCGTTAAAAATTTTGAAATACTCCAAACACAAAAAAATTTTCATTTTTTAACTTCTCATCTATTGAAAAAATAATATACAGGGTGTTCCATTTGAAAAAACGAAGAAAAATTATTTTATATTTTAGAAAGTTCTATACGCCAAACTTTCTAAGATATAAAATAATTTTGAGCATCCTGTATGATTTACGATTACCATATTTACAGCAAAGTAAGTACGCAACATGTAAAGTAAATAGGTACCTAATATAGTTTGGATTTCAGGGCAGTTCTTGTATTTTTAATATTTTTTTAAGAAAGGCTGAAAAATATATTTATTTATTAATATCTCTAAAACTATCAAAATATATTTACTCATATCTTAGGATTATGTAAAGTGATCTGAAAGGAAGCCAAAAATGCAATAATATACTGGGTGTTCCATTAAAAAAAAACATCCCTATCCACTCACACCTTTTTGAGCCACCCTATAGAAGTTAACATATTTTCCTGAAATACATCCTAGAACATACTTTAGGTTTACACTTAAACAAAATTCCCAAGTTTTTTATTCTAGGAGCTACAGATGCCCGACGCACTATTGCCGAACCCTGTATAATAGTTATCTTTTTAATTATATTCCCAAGAACCAAAGATGATTCCAAATCAAATCACGAGTAATTAAGTACTCTTCTAGTATTTCAGTTTAATCTGAACAAATCCGTGATGATTTTATTTTTTTGAAAAGTATCCTCAAATCTCTTTATAAGAGAAGAACACTTAAGTAGACGACGTAACTATATTTTAAAGTTTAATTATTAAGAATATTATTAAAACAAAATAAATTATTATCATTCAGAAGAAAAACAATAAGTTATAGATAACAAAAAGAAAGTGTTAACTGATTATCTACAGTTGTGTGTAATAATTTCCTGTAAGGTCAAATGAAAGACAAACGAAACATATACAAACATCCAGCCCATGCTGGAGGTAGTGTGCTATTAAGTAACATAACCTCGATGATATTCTTATCACAAAGCGTTTGAAATAAAAAAAATATTACTAATTGTTAACCTTAAAAAATACATAATATAATTATTTAGTTACCCAGAATTAGCGGCAGCTGTCGATTCCACACTATGGATCCTTATCCTGGTCGCGATATCCCTAAGGACGTCTAGATCTGTAACAAGAGGCATTTTTTAATCGAAATTATAGAAACCAGCGACACTCGGCCTGCTTCGACTCGAATGAGAATGATTTCGACTCAACACACACCAATTACAGATATTATATTACTTAATAAAGTTTTATCTTTTTTGTATTTACAGTGTTATCAGAATTGTTTACGTATTAAGAGGTCTCCTCGATAAATAGGAAACGCTGGAGTGCCAGAGGCGGATCGTCAGGTGCAGTAGGTGAAGGGGCATTTCACCGAAAAAAATCCTCAAATTAAAGAAAAAACTTTACTGCTTAAAATATTAATTTAGTTTAAAGGGTTTAATATATTTACATGTATTTAAATAATAAAATGTTAATTTTTTATATTTTTTTTCCGGGCGGACCTCTGCATAATAGGTCCACCGCATCGTTAATTCCGGCCGAAAAAGTAGCATTATTGGCCCGCACGCGCCTATGTTTCCAGATTCCAGGAAGCCACAAGTGAAAAGTGAAGTGAAAATATTTGTGAACCGAGCGGCTGCAAGGTTTCCATGGTAACGTGGCGTCAGCCTAGCGGCAGCATGTAGATCCCACGCCCAGAAATTTTTTTATCGGCCACCGATGTGACTGAGTTTTTCAGCAGTTCGCTTCGTCTTCCTTTATGCTAATATTCGGCTACTTCGGCGAGTAATTAACTGTGTAAAGACTGTGAAGTTGTTAATTGGTACTGTTAATTTTTGCTGTTTGTTTTGTTGTTGTGTTTTAAAACTGTTTATTTATTAATGAATTGGTGTGCAATTTATTGAAAACTCCCTTCAGACGGTGGACAGATGAAGATAAGAGGGATATTTTATCTCAAGGACGACCAACTGAATCTTTAACTATAAATTGCAAAAAAGAAATAAGAAAAAGTGGTAAATCTTATAATATTAAATTTAAATCTTCCTGGTTTTCTGATTTTAATTGGCTATGCAGTAGCATTGTTTTGCAAAAAAAATTCAATAAACATGGCTTTTGGAATAAAGTGTTCACTGATTTCGTAAATATATCAAGATCTTTGCATAAACACGGGGATTCTGCAGAACATTTAAAATGTCAGTTAATGCTAAGAAATTTTAAAAAAATCAAAATACAATTGCCGATGCTTTAGAAAAAAACGGTAGACTCTATAAGCGTAATTTTAATGAAAATGTTCGTTTAAATAGACTTTGTTTACGGGTAGTTATTCAAGCAATCTTATATGTAAGCAAGCAAGAATTGCCTTTTCGTGGGCACGATGAAAGGATTGACTCAATGAACAGAGGAAATTTTAAGGAGTTATTAAAGATATTAATTGAAATAAGCCCTTTGGAAATTAAACATTATGAAAAAATTAAAAACGTTTTTAGTGGAGATTCAAAAACCATTTAGAACGATTTTTTTTAAAACTCTAATATAAAAAAAACGTCCATATGGATCTAACTTTACGGTGGACACTGTATATAATGTTTATTATATTTAATTATATTTTCACTGGAATGCAAAATAATGTGTTTATCGAAAACTGGTTGTATCTCTTTTTACTTAATGCGTTTTAGCCCAAACTAAAAGGAAAAATTATAGGTATTAGTGTATAAGTAATAACAAAAAAAAATGTTGACAAAATAGTGAATACACCAAAAATTTTTCAAATAATAATTTACAAAATGGTGAATGCGTCAAAAAAAATTTCGCATGCGGCCTAATTTAAAAAATATTAACTCTTCACCTATTTTTATACCCACGAGCCGCCACTGTGGGATGCTAAGTGACCTTAGGTGATCGATATGTGAGGGAAAAAACAGATAAAAATAGTTATAGCTTTTAAAAATCGATATTATTTAATAATATCCAATAATTCATTTTAACTTTTCCACATACAAAAATTAAAATGAATGTGAGAATTCAGAAAGTTTGTGACATTCTTAATAACAGATGCATTTATTATTTGATACACTGTATAAGCTTTAAAGTTAATTAATGTAATGTGAGACATAAAATTTTATTACGCGAAACTTGACGAAATTGTAGGTACTCAGGTAAAGGTTATCATTTTGCTGTATCATAGTTATTATTTTATTTTGAGATAAAAAGACAGTCCTTATAAATATTCGGATTTATTTAAATTAATTAATAGAGATTAATTGAACGAAAATAAATTAATTTACTGAACTTACCTGTCATTGCTATTTTCTATATTAGATATATAGGTAATCTTTGTTATACAAAATTATTTTAATTCATGTCTTTCATCATTTTCTTGTAATATTACTGGAATATTTCTGCATAACTTTATGTTTCTAGAGGATTTTTATCAAAAAGTCAATGTCATATTTATGACAAATTTAGGATGGACGCATGATGGACGTAAAAAAAACATATATGACAGACTAAAGACGTTTATCCTTGGTTTACCTTGGGTTTACCTATAAGGAGAGTGTATGACAGTGAAGTTGTTGCATTTCGTGTTGATTTACAATGGTAAATTATATTTTTTGTATGATTCAACGTTGTCTTATTTATTTTTATAGCTCCACATAATCGCTTTGTGAAACTATATGCATACTCCCATGGATGCCCCCATTTCATGGACCCTTTTAAACAAATAGCTAGCATCGTTACTAGGGTTCAGAACCGGGAAATCCCGGTACCGAAAGTACCGGTAATTCCCGGTTCTTTTGAGACATCAAAGAAGCGGGACGCATATTTGTATGTCGCACACAGATTGTCCATTCGGAATTAGTCGGGTCTGCTGCGATTCGGCGGTATGTAAGTTAACTCGGGAGAGCACTTTCTTGGATAAAGCGAGTGCAACGTACAGAGTAGTGTTGGCGTTATTATGAATAATTATGTTTTGTGAATTGATTACTTATATAGGTATTGTATATATTATATTCCAACCCTTTTAAACGATATAGCATGAGAGAAAAAATAAATTATATATGTGAATGAATAGGCACACTGGATGATATCGAGAAGGTGAAAACTGATTCCTGTAGAACTTTTCACGTAGAATACAGTGACGTAGTCTGTTTTCTACGAAAAAATTGTTTTTGAAGATATGAACTAAAGTTATGTTTTTTTCAAATAGAATACCCTTTATATTTATAAATCATATGATCCTCCTTGCTATGAGCTTCTCAAAAATATATATCACTTTATATTTATTTTCACTATTTACTGCAATATTTAAAATATATCATTTTCTTATTAGTAGACCGTGATAAATAACAAAAAATCAAAATGATATTTACTAAAATAGTGATACAAATATTAAAATTTTATTTCGAATTGATTTATTTTCCTTTTGAACTGTTACCCTTGAATCTCTGAATATATTTTTCTTTTTTATAACGGAATTTATTATAACGGGATGGGTTTGCAGGTATCTAAAATATTGCATTATTAAAGCATTTTCCAGGTGTTCGACATTGTGTTAGTTGCCACGATATATTTCATACTTCCAATCGTCAAAATCAGAAATCGAGAACGGACAAATCCGGGAATAAGGGCATTGGTATTGGTAAATAACATTGCCATTGGTTCCAATTTATTGATTTGAGAAATAATAATTTTAAAAAATTCTAATATTTTCGTTGTAAGTTAAGTTGCGAGGGGGAGCCCCATCTTGCTGAAAGTATATTTCATGTAAATTAGCTAAAGGAATATTTGAATCTCCCGATACGATAGCTTCCAAGATTTACAAACAGCGGTAGAGAGTTAAGTTTCCCTAATATATAAAGAATTTATTAGTGGCTCTCAAAATGAAACAAGAGACAGATAGCAGTATACTTTTAATAATTCTATAGTTTCTTTTATTATCAATCATGGCCTACTAATAAATTTGATCTTTTAATATTTTTTTAAATATTGCACTAAATAATGAAAATAAATATAGAGTGATATATATTTTTGAGAAGCTTATGGCAAGCCAGATCACATAATTTATAAATATACAGGGTGTTCCATTTAAGAAAACATAACTTTAGTTTATATCTTTAAAAATATTCTTTTCGTAGTAATACTCTACTGTATTTTATGTAAAAAGTTCTAAAATAAACAGTTTTCACCGTCTCGATACCTTTAACAATGACAGAGATACAAGGGGTGTCCCAAATTGCAAAATTTTTAAAAAGACCCTGTAGCTCAGAAATGAAGAGGGCTATGAAAATTTTGTTTACGGCGTCTTCCGTTTGTCAAAAAAGCGGGACAGGTTTGTGCAAACCGCACCCTTCTATCTTCACAAATAACGTAGATATCGTATGATTTCAACCAAAATGAGACACCCTGTACAAACAAATTGACGACCGGTTAGATACTGTATGAACGAGAAAAAACGGCATCAGCGATGGCTATGAAGTGAAGATCGCTGTCATTTTATATGTAAATTTATATGGGAAATGTCATCGATCGTCATTTCCCAGCCAACTGGACGCCGTTTTTTTTTCGATCATACGGTATTTCGTTGTGCGAACAAAGCTATATCAAATTTTTACACGTCAAACATCCGAATTCTCTAAAATCTATAACTTTTTAACGATATTGGCGAATCAATGACTTCAGCCATTCCTGCTCTATTCTCTGCAAAGAATGGCAAAATGTTCCGGTCATCATGGCGAGTCCTGTCGACAGACGGGGAGAATCGGAACATTAACGCCGATTTTTTATGAAAAATTGCCGCATTGTGAGGCTGTTCAGGCCCGAGATCTGTCACTTCGAATAATATATGGGTGATTAATCGATCAGATATTGGATTTCTATTGAAACTTGTGGAATTGTATTCGGCGGACGAGTGCCAGCTTTTGTTTTGCAGAGGGCTCAGGAGAGAGGACGTAATAATAAAATTGTGACACGTTTTTTGCCTTGTAAAATGGAAATATTGTAAAAATTAAAAAAATTATTTGCCCTTTAAAATTGTTCTATTTAAATGAAACCATAACCAACATGAGATACAGGCCAGAGACATCGATTTGTGACGTCACCGCACTAGTCGGGCTTTTGTATTGTGCCATATGGTACTGCATATAGTTTTTGCATAAATAATAGTATTTATTGATAGTTTTGCCAGATATAAATATGAAAAATATTATACAGAAAGGTATTAAAAAATAACATTAAC